TAAACCCCTAAACCCTAAACCTTTTCTAAGCTTCTGAGCACTTTAGCACTTCAGCCTTCAAGCCCCCAAAATCCTTGAATGATCAGCCCTGGCTATTCCGCCAGGCTGCTTGCAGTTCTCGGCTTTGGAAAGCAAGGCCTCGCAGACGCAGTGGGAAGCACAACATGATAGGGTTTTTCTGTAGAGGCACCAGATAACTTGTCTCCTGTTGCAGTAAGAGGTGTCCGAGACCAGACTGTTGCACAATGCTCTCAACCCTAAACCCTTCAACCCTAAACCCTAAAACTCTAAACCCTAAAACCCTAATCACACGAAAAGTCTGCCTGATATCCGCCCGATCTCGACACAGAGCCTCCAGGGAGCCGCTGGCACCTTTGAGTGGCTCAGTACTTTCACCGGAATGTGGGAGTTTCCGCAAAAAAGGGTACCCTGACATGGGGTCCTTATAATAAGGATCCTACTATGTAGGGTGCTATATTAGGGCCCCTTGTTTTGGGAAACCCCCGTGTGGTTGCCTCAGCGGACCTGGATCCTACAAGGGACTCTACCTTAGGGGACTTTGGGACACTGCAGATGCGAACGAAGCTCTGCGTGTCGGTTCTTGTCAGGACATGTCCTCCAAGTTGACCCTCCTCGCGCGCAGCAGCCTTGGTATTTTGCTCGAAAAGCACTTCCTTCAAGTTTGCTTCAGTTCTGAGTTTATGGCCTTCCTGCGCTGAGGCCTCTTCGCGCTGCGAGAGCCTTACAAATGCTGTGCTTTTTAGCGGAAGAGCTAGTCAGAGCCAGAGAGTCCAGTTTACCCCCTTGACCGGGGAAGATACCTCTAGATGCTATATTTAATATATATATATATAGATAGATAGTATATATAGTATTTATAGTATATATAGTGTATATATATATATATAATATACACACAATATACAATGTATCTGTGTTCCCAGGCCTGGGACGGTCCTGGGGTTCTTGGTTTTTTGGTGCACGCTGCCGCTCTGGCACCTGGGCCGCGAAGATAGGTTAAATTCAACACGGGAGCGTCGAGTTTGTGGGTTCGAGAACAGACCGCGGTTAGAGGGAAGAGGCATGGCCTGTGGTTGCGGGTTTGGGGTTTAGGTGGAGTTTCTGTATTCTGGCGAAGTGTTGTTCGGCTGCCTTGCAACAGACAGTTTATTTGTGCCGTTGTCTTTGCGCAGGTTCTTATGCGGCTTGGGACTCATTGTCACTGTCGTTGCGCTGGTGGCGGTGAGCTGCGTATGGTGTCCAATAGCGCCAGATCCTTGGGCAGTGCACTGCGGTTGGGATGAGAAGGGGCTCGGTCGCACTATTACGCTACAGACCCAGGCCTGCGCACTTCGGACTGTTTCTGCTGTTCAGGAATTGCAAATCCCTAAACCCTAAGCCTAAGCCCCAAACCCTAAATCCTAAACCCTACACCCTAAAAGACGCTTATGCAAGTTGGGTTTCGGCTCTGGTCTGGCCGGTCTCTTCTTGACCAATTCGGGGGCTAGCTCAGAGAGGTCGTTCAAGCGCATCGCCACCAAGCTCCAAAGCGCTTTCAGTATACCGGGCAGACCTAACCCTATGAAACTCTAAACCCAAATGGGTAGTTCTCGAAATTGGGGTCCCGCTTGGGGTCCGTTTTATAAGAGTGCCGTACTATCGTGGGGACCCCAAAAAGGATCCTAATTTAGAGAACTACCCAAATCATCGACATCCTTATGACACGTATGTAGGCCCTCAAATTCGCGTTAGGGCCTCCAGGCTGGAGAAAGGCCGCAGCATTCCATGTGCGGAGGACAAAAGTTGCATTCAATTGAACTTGAACTTTCCAAAATGCATCCTTGGGTGAGATTATAGTAAATGTCCCCTTCATGGTCCAAAAGTGAAGTTAAACCACTGCGCTAGAATGCACACCTGCTCTGAGTGTTGAGGCTGCAGGCTCCTATATAAATTACCCCCCGGCCGAATTTCATCTCTGAAGCCCTAAAGCCCTAAACCCTAAACCTCTAAACTCTAAAACTCTCTAAACCCTAAACTCCTAAACCCTAAAACCCTAAACTCTAAATCCCAAGACCCTAAAGCCCTAAACCCCAAAACCCTAAACCCCTAAACTCTAAACCCTGCAACCCTAAACCCTAAACCCAGCTCGCCGAGGGCACCATGCGTCTGCGGCTTGAGCTGCTGTGGTCTCAGTGATACGCAGGCCCGGCCGGGCCATAAAGAGCTCAGAGGTTTATAGAGGTAACAGTTTAGGGGTTTAGGGCTTAGGGTTAGGGTTTAGGGGAGCAGGAGTAGCAGTAATAAGTATGATACTAATGATAGTAGTAGTATTAAGATTTAACTATAGCAATCAAAACTTTAATGTCAATAAGACCAAGAATAAGAGCAATGGCAGTAATAATACTTGTAGTAATCATAAGAATAACAACTACTTTCTTTCAAGGGCCCCTTTAAGTCTTCAGATCCGTACTGATTGTATCCCGAGAAAGCGGGGAAGGGGCTTATTAGTGAGAGGCTTTACATCTTAAGCCCTGCCCATCGACCCTTAAACGAAAAAAACAAACCCTGAACTCCAATATAAACCATCAAGGGGTTCGGGTTTGCGTTTTCCTGGGTGCATGGTTTGGGGTTTGAGGTTTATGGTGGAAGGTTTAGCTGTTTAGGTTTTGAGCGTTTTAGGTCTAGCCTCAGATGCGGAACGCGGAATGCATGAGCAACCCTAAACCCTAAACCCGAAAACCCTAAACCCTAAACCCTAAAGGCCCGAAACCCTGAACCCTAAAGGCCCTAAACCCTGGACCCTAAACCCCAAAAAAACCCTAAACCCTAAACCCATGTGTTCAGGCGGAGCTCATCATGTGCGCTCCTTGCCAGTCCTGTTGCCCGGCCTGAAACTCTTAGGGTTTAGGGTTTAGGGTTTAGGGCCTAGGGCCTTTAGGGTTTAGGGTTTAAGGTGGGTTTGGGGTTTTAGGGTTTTAGGGTTTAGGGTTTAGGGTGTAGGGTTTAGGGTTTAGGGTTTAGGGTTGCTGCCTTCTACGATTGTCTTTAATCGAGGGGGCCTTAATAATAACAATAATAACAATAGTAATTGTAATAATAATAATACTAATAATACTAATAATAAGAATAATAATAATAATAGGGTTTGGGGGCCTAGTATACTGTAATTATAATCAGGAAACCCCAAAGTAGTATTGGTAATTATTTGGGCCCCTACGTTAGCCCCGAGACCCCAGGCCGTGGTTATAAAGGAGTGACGACTTCCTATACTCTGAGGAGGAGGAGGAGGAGGTGTACGTCGTCGCCCGTGTCCGAGCAAGACGTCGCCAATCTGTATACTGTACACCAAAATCGGCAAATAAAAGCAAACATGCAGAGACATACCGTGTTGCTAGCACGGCACATCCCGTCGCAGCCTGGCTCCCAAATGCGAACAGTCAAAGAGAGACCGTTAAAGGCCTAAGGGTGCACCAGGCCGCCCGAAGTCGGCATTGAGAGTAATGCCTCCCCCTCCCGAAGGTAACGGCCAGTGGGTGGGCCGCGACGCTGAGCACAACGTCTCCCCGCAATCCCCCAGTATGTCGGGGGTTTGACGACCAGCAGGTCATGCCGCAACGGGCTGAGCAACCACGAGTTGCCCCCTATCGCCTCCCCAAATCCCTAGGCACACAAAATGCATGCGGGTCTCGGCCAATGGGTAAAGCCGCAGGAGGTATTTATAGACAGGTTAATTCCCGCTGCTGCTCCACAGCAGCTCAGCCATCCCCGAAGGAGAGAGCATCGCCGCTGCTTCGCAGCAGCCCCCCCCCCCCGGAGGGACCTATACTCTGACAAGCACACAATGCGCCCATGCTTTGCCTCGCGGGCGGGTGCCCTCGCCTTTCGTACAGCCTGTGCTTATTTGCTACCGTTTTGACTGAATTTGTCTGGACGATGTTCACGCACGTGTCTTTGTTGAATGTGGCTCATGTCGTATTTCCGGTTTGCTCTGCATTCAACGGCTGCTGCAACACAGCCGTACTCTACTGCTTTTCAAACTTGTTCACCTGAAGGCTGCAAGTAGGCGGCATTCAGGCTATGCGATTCGGAGGCTTATCCTTCGGAATATGGATGTTGATTAAAAATCCTTATCTTGTGGAGAGTGTCTTACCGTTCTAGGGATGAGAGAGTCCGTAGTTGCCCCCTAGCTGTGGTTGATTGGTAGCTTCTGCCACATACAGTTTAAAGCTACATGCTTGGCAAGTCTTTTGTTGCTGGTCTGTGCCGCAATGTTGGCTGCTTTGCGCCTTTTTTCTAGCAACAGGGCCGTGAAGGGAAGTATAAAGCCACCTATACGACCTCATCGGGGTGCCTCTTTTCATCCTGAGAAGAGCACTGAGGTTGGGCATCTGTTGAATGCCGCTCGACTACAGTTACGGCGATCCGGCAGCGTCAAGCTGCGTCTGCTTCATGGACGTCAGTCCAGAGAGATGCCCATCCTGATCCTAAGCGCACCCATCCAACCATGCGCTGGTTTGGGTCCGAACCCCAAGCATCGGTGCAGGTTTATTTGGTGGAACGGAGTGAGGTCCGGCCAACCGCTGCTTTGCTGCTTGCATGCAATAGCGCAATCTCGCTCCGTCTGTGCTCAGCACGGTGGACCGTCCGTAACTGGCTCGACACGAAGTGTCACAGTCGCGAGTCTGGAGGAAGGCATTCTGTGATATCTGGCTTAGTGCATCCTCTCAGCCGGGGGTACCACACAACAGCAGGCCTCCTGCCAGGCACAGGTCGACAGTTTCACTGAACATGTAGGTTTAGCAAAGTAGGTGTTCCTCGGACAGAAATGCTGCACATGTACAGCTCAGTTCCATCGAGCAGAGATCTTTGTGTAAAAGACTGCTACTTCGGGGGTTTTTGTTCTTGCACGGGTGTCTTGTTTTTGTGTGGCCAGTTTTCTGGTTGTTCCTGTAAACAAGTTATTTTCCTGACGCTTTGGACTGATTTCGTGCCTTTTCCTGAGGAAAGCGTAGATTACGTTGGTTCCGTTCGTTGTCGTCGTTGTCGTCGTCGTCGTGGTCGTGGTGGTCGTCGTTTCGTTAGAGCGGGGGGTTGGGGCGCAGCCCCCCCGGTTTGCAAACCCAACGTACGTCCGCAGCAAAGGTTCTGAAGCGGCCCATCTGGGTTCTGTTTTGCTGGTGTTGCTGTTTCTGTTGCTGTTGCTGGTGTTGTTGTTGTTGTTGCTGGTGTTGTTGTTGTTGTCGTTGTTGGTTAAAGGGGGGGAGTTGGGGGGGGGACTCCGAATGTGAGTAATTCCATGCCAGGTGGGCGAAAAGCGACAGCTTCGGATACCTCCGTCCGAAGGCTACGGCCAGGCGCGAGACATCCAAAAAGGGGGGAGGGGAGGGGGTTTTAATCTGGAGGGCTTATGGCTTATAGGGTCTCTTAGGGGTTTGGGGTTTAGGGTGTAGGGGTTTAGGGGTTTAGGGTTTAGGGTTTAGTAGGGGCCACTTGTGCTTTTCCTTGTTGCAGCGATGCAGCAAGGATATGAAGATCCTGGGTTGGTTTCAGGGTTTTGAGGTGCTCCGGTCCAAGAAGAACAGCAGGTGGATTTGGGGTTTCAGGATTTTAGGGTCTAGGGCTTTCGGGCTTTAGGGTTTCTGGTTCAGGGGTTTAGAGGTGCCTGACGATTGCATGCCGTCTTGCACATCCCTACAGTCTTCCACAGCCTGCAGACATGGATCTTGCCAGAAATCATCGGGAGGTCTGATTGCTTTCCGGAAATGTTGCCCTCTTATAGTCGCTATAACATAAGTTGTTTCAATCTGCCTCAAAGCGTTGCGCAAAATCACTAAATCCCTTCGTCTGGATTTCCTGGTGGCGAGGCAAAGACAAAAGCATCCGTTTGCCAGTTCACATGAGGCAGGGTTCAAACTAAGGTTCCCGGGGTCCACACACCCTACTCCAAAAAAGTCTTGGGCCCCTAAACCACATACCGCATCCCTTCGCTCAGCGCGGCTACAAAGCCTGGGGCATTCCGCCGGATGCCGTGATGGTTTTCACTCTGGAGGTTTTGGATATTCAGTAGCTTTCCGATATCGAGTTTCACGGAGTTCTATCATTTCATCAATAACATCTCAACCTAGGAGGAATGTGGGCGGAACGTTGAATCGGAATCGGACCAGGCGCACCTAGCTAGAGTCTAGAATCCTGCCAGCCGTGGATTCCTGATCGAGAGGCGTCTAACTTGCAAATTCTCCAGGGCTGGCAGGCCTTCCTCCAGATCCAATGCGTTTCCGAATGACGCTTTGCACGTCTTTCAGAGACTCCGTGCCCCTCCGCCGATGAGTCTCAACATCGAGGAAAGCCAGAAACCTAGGCCTAGGCGGCACAGTCTCAACCCTGCTCAACCCTGAACCCGACACAAACCCAGCAGAAGGTCTGCAGCTTGTCAGAGAGGGGTGGTGCTGCGAAGACGGATTGTAGAGGTGAATAAAAGGGGACAGACGGATGCGACAAATCTGCAGCCCTTTCGCTGGTGCCCATGTCTTTTGTGTCGGCCGCAGTTGGCCAGAACTTTCTTGCACATCGAAGATACGCCCAGCCTGAAGTAGTTGTCGATTGCCCTTCACGCCAGAGACCGTTGAGAGCGAGCGCGTGGGCGTATTTCACAGGCAAGGTGGGTGTTACTCAGAAAGTCAAGGACCCCAGCTCTCGAAGCTTTCCGACTTTCACTCGAAAGGCCCCTTATTCTGAAGGACCCTATCATTATTTTCTGGGCATGCACCAATTCCAGTGCCTTGCGCCTTGGCCCTTGGGCGGGTTCCAGAAACCTGCTGAAACCGGCCGAGGTGCTTTCGATCGGGACCCAGCCTGCCGCAAGAGGAAGTACCATAGGGACCCTGAAAAAATTGAGGGGGATGGTAGGGGACGATACTATACTTCCTTAAAGAGGCCTTAATTAGGTCCTTAATTCCAGTTATGAAGGCCCCCTACCCCACTACCCCCCGAAGGGTCCTTATGGTTGAGAAGCACGCTCCAAACTTCCCGGAGCACAAGGTGATTCGAATCCTTGGTAGGCGTGCCCTCACTTAAAACAAGAGACTCTTCCCCGGGGCATGCCTGCGCTGCTCTATTAATATGCAGCCGGCTGGATCTGCGGCCCGGTTCTCCCGACACCTTCCGGTTCTTCCCTATTGGGAAGGGTCGCTATGTGCGTCACCTACCTAGCACGGACGACAAGCCGAAGTTCTTTAGGCAAGATCCACATGCGGAGTTATGCGAATGTTCACTGCATTTCTTTCTCCCACTTCCTGTTGTCCAAGCTGATAAGCCGATAAGCATGGGACAGTTTTTGTCGGAGGGTCAGTGATCAGTCAGCCTTTCAGCCTCGGAAGCTGCTGTAGACCTGCCTCCCATTATTATTGCCCGGACGTGATGACAGCGCACTGGTATCAAAATCTTCGATGCACGGGCGCCTGAGGAGTAGCTTTTATTCGGTGAGTGAAGCCGTTCCTGACTCAACGTCTCGCCTACCGCCAGTCATGAACCCAGAGAGGCCGATGCACCCCTGAATTAAGGACGCGTGTACGTATACGTGCATCTATTCTATATATATATATACACACGGATATACATGTGTGTGTATATATATATATGCATATGTATGCTT